CGTCATGGGTTCTTTTTCCTTTTCCTTTCCTTTTCCTGTAAAACGGTATTGCTATAGGTTTGATAGAAATGATTCAGGCTCCTTATTATCCTACCTTACTTACCTAAAGAAATTTATTTGACTTTTTCCGTTTGGAATCTTAACCTAGAGTTTGTATGTCTGCAATGTGTATTCAAAGGTAGACTTCTTCCCTTGCGACCCCATCCATCCTCATAAACTTCGCCACCTTGTCCCCGTGAAGTTACCTTTCGATGGGAAGTATCTTGCCTAAGGTACTTGGTGTCTCATGGTTATGGAATGTGCTACAAGGTTAGCGACTGAACCTTGCTTGCTGTGTGATCTTGTCAGCTCGGATAAAGATGGGAAAAACAGTCGGCTGGGGTTCCATTTGCATTATACACCATGTACGGGCAATTCATCGGCAATAACAAAAGTCAAATCCTAATAGCTGGGTCGTGTTCGGTCATCAGCGAATTAATTAGTCACACGCCCTCTGCGATGGTTTGCTAGAAATCAGACAAATGTTGGCTACCCAGAGAGTGCAATGTGTCAATGCAAGACTGATTGTATTCATAACATCATCAAGTTTGTCAGAAGCTCTACAGGGATATCTAGGGAGCCAAGTAATGCAGTCGAGGCAAGTGTCTACTCCCAACCACGCGTCAGGCACCTTCTGCCATCCATTCCCACGCCCAGTCCTGGGGGAATTACAATACTTTTATATCTGCGATACAGCCGAGCCGGCGCTATATAGATCACATGTACAAGCTGGCCACGGCGGTAATGTCGCGGCGGATCATTTCCTGCGCGGCGGCCATCTTCTGGTACAGCTCCGGGTCTCCGATGATGCGGGCGGCGTTCTTGACCTCCCTGCAAGTCTCATCGAGGCGGGTGATGGTGCGGACGATGGTGCCCTCGAGCACGTCGGTCAGGCCCGTGATGTTCTTGAAGCTCATGCCGCGGGCCCACTCGTAGACGACCTCCATGAGGCCGAAGCGCGGCTTGCTGGCAAAGTCGTTGCTCTCTTCGGACGACTGGATGACCTGGTGCACCGTCTGGATGTTGTTGACCTTCTCTGACAATTCGATGATGGTCTTCATGCCGCGCTCGAGGTTGCCCGTCAGCGTCGGCACCGAGTCCGTCTTCTCCTGGAACACAAAGGCCGAGAGCAGCGCGGCGATCTCGGCTGGCTCGTAGTCGGCTAGCACATTGTCGAGGATTAGCTCTGTCAGCACGAGCTCGTCGCCCGAGTGGATCTCGCATGCTACCTTCCCCTTGATTAGGATGCGGCTAGCGTCGTCGATGAATGACAAATCCTTGAGGACTAGGATGCGCTGCTCGTAGTCGGGGAGCAGCTGAAGATTCTGGTTTGATAGCATCTGCCGCAGCTGTTCAATCTGCGTCTTGATGAGCCACTGGTCGTGGCACATGGCGTAGTGCTTGGGAAACTGGGGGCATGTTGCGGCCGTGGAGCGGGACACCTTGGCTTCGACTTCCCGTCTTTTGCTCATGATGTCGTGCATATACAGACTCTTGATCCTGCTAAGATCAATCTCGTCCCATATGTCCGTCGTCCACGACCTGCAGATGTGATGCAGGATGTCCTTCGCCTTGGGGTAGCCTTCCCCGCCAAAGATGTCGGGAAGAACGCCTTTGGTGACATGCCTCGTAAGGCAAACGAGATCGGCCAGAGGCACATGAAGAGTTTTAGTTAAAATATGCTTCTTGTTCTGGGGTAAGGGTGTGTAGTGCTTGTGCAACGAGGGGATGAACGGGAGCAGGTCTGTGTCGTTGCGGACCTCCCTGTTTGTCTTGATCTCAAGAACGTGGAAGGTGGGGCTGGCCGCGCTGCTCTTGACGCTGGCCCCTTCTGCAAGCAGTATGCCAGGAGTGCGCACGCCGTCCTTCATCCACACAATGAGTCGTCCCTGGGTGAACATCTTGCGGCCGATGGGTATGGCCAGCATTCCGCGGTACAAGTCCTCGGTGAGCTGCTTAAAGTCCTCTCCAGCCTGGTGGCATTCGTCCATGTCCACATCGCAGGTGGCGCACGCGTCTCTCTTGATCTTTGCCAAGTCCGCTTCGGACACCTTCACAGCCTTCTCGTGCTCAGGGAGCAGCTGTTGTGTGGCGTGCTCGGAGAAACTACGCTTAATCATTTCTTCGATCTTGAGCGCCTCCACGCGTAGAAGGTTGAGAATCATGTTGTACGTCAGTCGGAATTGTGAGCGGAGCTTGCTAGGCTCGCCCAGAATCATCAGACGGAGATCGGTGACAGGGGGAGCTTCGTCCCCGCCCGGCGGAACGATAATGACGGAGCCGACAGTATCGAGACCACGTCTCCCTGCTCTGCCAGCCATCTGGGTATACTCGCCGGGGAGTAGATTCCGGAACGAATGGCCATCATGCTTGCGGTACCCGGAAAAGACGACAGTCCTCGTCGGCAAGTTCAGGCCCATGGCAAAGGTCTCGGTGGCGAAGAGAACCTTTACCAGGGTCTGTGCGAATAGTATTTCCACAAGTTCCTTCACAATGGGGAGCAACCCGCCGTGGTGAACGGCAATACCCCGTCCGAGGAGATCGCGTAGGCGGATGATTTGGGGAAGAACCCGGTCCTCCGGCTTCAGACGCGCAATCGATCTCTCAATAATCATGTGGACGGCGCTCTTCTCGTTTGCGGTGCAGAAGTCCTGGTTGCTCAAGGCATCGGCGTTCTCCTCGCATCGCTTCTTGGAGAATACAAAGATGCAGGCGGGCAGAAGGGTTTCTTTCTTCAGGAACTGGACTAGGTGCACCCAAAGGGTCTTGTCCTGGGCAGCTGACGTGAAGCCTCCCTGTCTGCCTGTCCGGCCCATGTGTCCAGGGGTATGGCTTGCGCGAGGCGGCCCGCCTCTTCCTCGTTGCGGCCCGCCGCCTCTGCCACCTCGTTGCTGATTTGCGCCCCGCTGTGCGCCGCCCCGAGGTCCGCCGCGTGCATTACCACCACCACGGAAAGCTGGCGAATCAGCCGCCTTAAGCTTGTCCTTGCCACGAACCGCGGCATCGGCGTCCTTCCAACCCTTTTCGATGAAGTTTTTGTCCGCGTCCACAATCTTGTGGATGTTCCTGCCGGCCCACAGGTAGTGTTCCAAGGGCACAGGTCTTTTTGGCGTCGAGATAACATATATATCCCTCTGCTTGGTCCGTCCCACCCAGGATGCGAACTCGTGAGTGTTGGGGACAGTGGCTGACAGGAGGATGAGCGATATATGCGACGGTAGCATAATGATGACCTCTTCCCACACGACACCGCGCTCAAAATCGTTCACATAGTGCACTTCATCAAAGATGACGAACTCGACATCGCGGATTAGATCGGCTCCGCGGTAGAGCATGCTCCGTAGAATCTCGGTCGTCATGATGAGGCAACTAGCCTCAGGGTTGATCTGTACATCTCCGGTCAAGATACCCACCTCGTCGAACGTGAGTCTGAAGTCGCGGAACTTTTGGTTGCTAAGCGCCTTGATGGGCGAAGTATAGATGGCTTTGGTCATGTGCTTCGCAGCCAGGGCGATAGCATACTCGGCGACAACTGTTTTGCCGGCCGAGGTATGTGCGGCCACGAACACCGAGTCTCCGTTCTCAAGGTGGTAGATGGCCTCCTTCTGGAACGTGTCGAGCTCGAAAGGCCATTCCCTGGCCATGTCAGGCACCAACTCCCGGAAGTTTGGCATCTCTCGCTTGATATCAACCATGTGCGCCCACTCGCGGCCAGCCTTTCTAACACTGGACGCTGCGAGGGTGCCACGGGGTTCAAACGCGGGAAACTCGACGGGCAGTATGGCGTCAATATCCTCCAAGTCTTGTTCATCGTCATCCTGGTCCTCATCCTCGGCAGCACCATTGGCCGCCGGGGGTCCGCCGTCCTCCAGTTCTCCATCTGGGATATCTCCCGGCTCTTGATCGAGAACCTCTTCGAGCTCCTTCTCCTGCCGCTCCGTTTCGGCATCTGCAGACTTCGTCCGTTTGCTGAAATCGATACCCCTCGACAAGCCAGGAGCAACCTCGAGGAGGCCCCCAACGGAGCCGATCTTGATAATCTTTTCGAGCTTCTTCTTGGAATCTCCCCCTTCGTCTGTATCGGCGGATGATATGCGCAGCTGGTCCTCGAGCGCAGCCGTCGACTCGATGCCGTCAATACCGCCGGGCGCGAAGGGAAAGAAGCCCGCCGCGCCGCGTACAAAGTCGGCGCGGCCCGCGGGCTTGCGCATCATCGAGGTGCTCGTCTTAGCGGTCGCGTGCGAGGCCGGCACGGTGACGTTGCGGTATCCGGTGACACGTCCTTCGAGGCCATGGCGAATGAAACGCGTGACGGTGCGCGACTGGGTGGGTGCGATGCGGAAGAGGAGAGACGGGTCATTAGGCGTCTCCCAGCGCTGCTGTAGTCGGTTCAGCCACTCGGTAGAAAATGTGGTTGACGGCGTCAGGTATTTCGCCTCGAGGGCTTTTCGTAGCTCGTCGGCATCTGTCCCTCCATTGTCCGTTCGTGGTGCTCGGGCGTCGTGTTGGAAGAGGATGTCGTCAATTTCTTCAACCGAGCTGAGATCTGCCAACTGAAGCCGACTCATGGCATCACCAAGTTCGGACGCCATGTTGTCGATATCTGGGCACGATTGAATCTGCCCGGGAAGGAATTCACCGGGCAACCGTGTTCTTTGATGGTGAGTTTGGTGCTCGGTGCTGTGGTGGAGCTGGAAATGGTGCTCGTGCCAAACAGAGCCCCGCCAAAGCCAAGCCCAGCTGAACCTTGCTTGAATGTGGGGTAAAGCGGTGCCGCTCCGATCGGGTTAGGGTTGCATGCGGCGCAGGTGGGGCTGAAACGGGGCATCGCTGGAACATCTCAGCCAGGACCGCCGCGTTGTTGGACCGTTGGCGCCGTTGGACCCCTGAAACAGTGAAACTCTCCATGCGGAGAGTTGGTTAATAATGGAATCAACATGTAGAGAGGATTAAGGAAAGAAGGTCCGGTGGTGTAGTTGGATTATCACATCGTTCTTATATATGAGCTTAAACTCTCTTAATATGCGAAGGTCCTGGGTTCAAGCCCCAGTCGGACCAAATTTTTGCTTGCTCTTAGTCTATCTTTTTGTTGCCTAATTTTACCGCGTCAACGCGTGCGTTGAGTCGCATTAGAACGGCGAACGGCGCTCGGTTGCTCGACGGAATGTTTACGTTCATGCACAACCAACGTGGGGAGACGGGAACTTCCTACAGCGGCATCAGCGCATGACCACAAACCTGCCAAAATCGTTGTCGCGCAACTGAACAAAGTCTTCAATTTGTGTTTGTTTACTTACTGTTGTTGACCTTCCAGCTACCAGTTTGCGTGGCATTTCTCTGCTGATCCGGTCCACCCACCCGCTGCTCCGCTTTTTTGCTCTCGTTCCAACGGTTGGCCTGCATGTAGACTCGCCGGGTTTTGAAGCCCCCATCCGCGACGTCGGATGAGATTTTGCGCCATGTCGACAGTCGGGACATGCTGGCCAAAAAATGAACTCCCAATTTCGCACCTCACCATAGCCCATCCATCTCGGCCATTGCCTCTTCGTCGTCGTCAAAAGTTTGAGGTCGCTGGTTGGAGTCTTTTGGCGGCGCAGTAGTGTTGGTGGTTGACGGCGCCTGGGCTTCTGCCTCTGCCATCAGCGCATCAAGATCATCTGCGTTGTCCTGGTCGGTAGTCCCTCCGGGGTTCTTGGCCTTGTCCGTTCTAGCGACATTGCCATTCCCGTCGGCTGGCGTGACTCTATTGCCACCTGCTGAAGGCGCTGCCTGCGCCTCGGCCTCGGCCTCGGCCATGAGTGCATCCAGGTCGTCGTCATCATCATTCTCCTCGTGGGCGTTTCTGTCCTGCGTGGCCTTCTGCGCTGTATTTCCGCTTCCAAAAATGCTGCCCTTTGCTGCAAATTGGCTGGGCTTGGAGGTAGCTGTTGATGTCTCTGCTTCGGCCATCAGAGCGTCTAGATCGTCATCGTCAGGTTCACCGCCAGACGCTTGCGTAGATCGGTTGTTGGACCCGCTACCAAAGATGCTGCCAAAGGACGGAGTAGCCGTACTGGGTCTATTGGGGGGTTGCAGTGTGTTAGATTCTGCCTCACCCATCAAAGCATCCAAGTCATCGTCATCTGGAACGTCCTGGGCCAATTGTCTGGAGGGCCCTGTGCCGCCCCTCGGAGTTGCATTGTAGATGTCGCCGTCCCCGAACAGATCGTCTGCTGCGGGGGTTCCCGCTCGGTCCTGGCCAGCCATCTGCTCGAATATGGGCGCAATGCGGCTTGGTTGCCTTGGGGCCGAAGAACGCTGGTCTTGGTGGTCTTCGTCCTCGTCCTCGTCCTCGATTGTCGGTTTCGGCTTCCCCTCGTCAATCCACCTTTGGCGTTCATTGCGCATTACAATCTTGTGTCCCGCTTTCTCAACCATCGCAAGCGCGTCTAAGAAGGTGGCCTTGGGGAAGAGGTCGTCCAACCACTCTTGGTAGAAAGAAAGCAGGCGAGAGGCATCGGAAAACTGTGCAGCACGTCTTAGCAAGCTTGTAGCCGTGCACAATTGGGAGAGCAAAGTACCTCATGTCCTTTCCCCTTGAACTTGATGCGTGGTGCCATCTTGCGCAGCTTGGGGATGCCCTTTTCCGACAGCAGGCTAAGAGGCTAGAAGTTAGCTAGGGGCTTGCAGGGAAGCAAGGCGAAGCTACCAACCGGGTCTCGTCCAGCTTCACACGGGGGGCGCGCGGCTTTCTCGTCAAGTCGATCTGCTCGTCAATGCCGAGAGAGTCGGTCTTCTTGCCCTTCTTGTCGGCCTTTTTTGGGGCGGAGGCGGGCTCAGGCGTGTCGGAAGCGAAAGGGTCGTCATTGTCCCAGTCTGCAAGGTATTCGTTGATGAAGGCATTGCTGTCGGCCTCTCTGTTTGGTGCAGCGGCGGCTGCAGACTTGGGGTTCGTTTTTGAAGGCATTGTTGGCAGGTTTGTTGAGTTGGCTGTTGGGGGCTGCGTTGTTTGGCTTCCCGGTTGCTTTTATCATTTAAACGTATGGTTGGATTCGAAACGCGACGCGCTGGGTGCATCGAAAGTCGCGTCAACTGGCCACCGCGGGGCTGCACCGCATCGAACCTGACGGCTTTGTGGTAAAAGTGGGGCTTAGGTTGTGGATTGTTACAGGACTTGCACCACCTGAAGGCTCTTGGGGAATTTGCCTTCTCAACTCTATGGTCTACTTCTAAAAATACAAAATACAAAAGTCCAAAAACCACCTCTACAATTCCATCCGATCGTACTCGTAACCTATAAATAGTTGAGCTTGTTTGAAAGGTTGAGAGGGAACCTTGCTGAAATCCAGCAGCCTAGTGGCTGACTTGCGCACAGCGTGGCGTCGATTAGTGGCGCATACGGCAGCCTCAGGCCTCGACTGTTTCGAGCTTCGGATTCAGGAAGCTCCATTTGACATCAGACTCGGGACCTCAATTGCCCAGCTCAGCGCATTCGTGATCCGCTCGACGACGCATCCGTCGGCCGCCAAGATGTCGAACACGCCGACCCAGACGTATCAGTTTCCCAGCAAGACGGTCAAGGCCGACTTTCCCGTGAGTGGCGTGCGCCCAATTCAATTGCCCCTCGCTGTCGTGACGTGCGCCCGTTTCGCCGAGTTTCGCTGACATTGCCAATCGCCTCAACCAGCTCATCGACAATGACCCGTATGTTGCTCACTCCCCACGAGACCAACTCCCCCCCTCCCGATCCATCTCTGACCCGATTGGCTGCGCAGACACTTCAAGCGCGTAGTGCGGTACGCCCGGCCGTCCGACTATGCGCACGGCGTTGTCGCCGCCGCCTTGGCCCCCGGACTCCTCTACGGCCTCGAGAAGGTCTCGCCGACACGCGTGGGAAAAGGCGGCCTTGCCCAGGGCATGCGTCTCGCAGGGTTTATCGGCGCATGCGGCGGCTTCCTCTACTTCTACCAACGCTCCATCCGTGCGTGGTTCCCCCTCCACCGGGCCTTCTTCTCTCTCGGGCCCTTGCGCTAATTGCCGCCTGCAGTCCGGTTTTACGGCATGAGCGAGAACTCGCGCGAGGTCAAGATGGACATGCGCGAGATGGTGGACAGGCTCAAGGCCGGCCAGACGCTCTACGGAGAGAGCCAGCTGACACCAGCCATGCAGGGCACTGCGGCCCGCCAGTCGCGGTACTCGGCCCTCTTCATCGCCATCCTGCCTTGGTTCAACTTTGTGAACCATAACCAGCACGGCGTCGACACGGCCAAGTACTACCAGCAAGCGGAGAGGGAATTGGAGGCTGAACGCCTGGGCAAGAAGGACTTGTAAGGCTTGATAGCTGGTGAGTAAAAAGGGCCGGCTGCGGCAACGATGAGAAATGGGGCGTGCAAATGCCACCCCATTGCAGGAAACTGGCCGCCCTGTGTATATATGCGCTTTTAGATGAAGGTTGCCGCAGAAGCTCCGGGTCAGACAGCCAATTGTCTTGCGTTGACAAGATGCAGTTCTTTTGTCGAATCGCCAAACGAATGAGAAAGTTACAGATTCAACCACGATGTGGCCAAAAGTGCGTTGAGCATGAGGCCCAGGATGGCTTTAGCCCCAGGCTTCTGTCCCTGGCGCCGGTTCTCGTCTTCCACTTTGGCCAGTTGGTCAGGCATACGCACGTCCTGCCTGGCCCAAGGCAAGCCCAAAGCCCTTGTCCTCTCTCTCTCTTCTGTCTGCGTTGTTTTCCTTTTCCTGTCACTCCCTGCGGTTACGCTCATTGCTCATTTTGTACATTGCCATTCTATCTATGCGAAATCTCTCCGCTTTATGGCCATCTAGTTATCTATTTCTATGTCGGTCAGCTCGCTGGCAGCTCACCGTCGAATTGCACTCTTTATTTTATCGCCAACAAGCCAGAAATGAGGGGTCTGGTTCAAAATGGATGCTTAAATATGTATAGGTAATGAATGCAATGCACACCGACGTCGGTCTCATCTCACTCTCTAGGGTTGCGGACACACACCGCCCGTTCCACCGAACTGCTGCTAATTCCTACCACGTGCGGTTTCCGCGTGTCTCGAACACGACAAAATCAACAACAACAACCGCTACACCGCCACAACGCTACAAGATCAATACAGGACGGCTCAGCCTCTCATCGTGCTGGCTTCCTTCCTTCCTTCAAGCCGAAGCAACACACTGCGAGTAGTACGGCGCCGAGACGTCCTTGCAAGTGAAGCCAGACTACGCAACCAACGATCACGGTCAGCGTCAAGAAACATTTCGCCGTTTGCGAAAGGGATACTGAGAGAACTTACCGCGCACGAAGTGCATCCAGTGTAGCCGGTGCCGCCGCACTGGCCGAACGCGGCCACGGAGCACGCGTTGGGGCTGCTGTTGTTGTCGGGGGCCGCAGCCGACGACGACGAATCGCTGCTGCTGGTATCGCTGTTGCTGCTGCTGCTGCCGTCGCTGGCGGAAGACGCCGACTTGGTGCCGGAGCCGCCGCCCGGGGTGGCGACGGCGGTGGGCGACTTGCCGACCTTGCAGGTGGTCTCGCAGCCGGTGCACGACGAGCCGGCGGTGCGGTTGGTGCCGCCGCCGTAGACGGCCGGGCCGGGCGCGATGTAGTTGGCCACCGCGGCGTGGATGTTGATCATGATACCCGGGTCGCGCGCGCTGTAGGCGCCGGGGAACTTGACGAGCGGGCCGGGCGTGGCGCTGCCGCCGCCCTTGACGGAGATCTGGTAGCACGACACGTAGAACTGCGCGCCGCCGCTCGACCCCGCCGTGTGCAGCGCCAGCGCCTCGGCGCGCAGCAGGTAGTCGCCCGACGGGATGTCGGACGGGATCTTGACGTCCATCTTGCCGCAGCACGCGTTCAGGTCCCGCGTGCCCCAGTTGTCGTCGTCGCCCACCCGCCCCCCGGACTTCTTGCTCCACGCGTCCGAGAAGATCTTGAACCACTGCGTCGACCCGTCCGCCGTGGCCGCGTCCGCTACCTTGGTCAGGTAGATCTGCACCGGCCCCCAGTGCTGCCCGCCAATGGCCTCGCTGCCGCACGCCCGGTCGCCGGGTTGCTGTTTTTT